TAATTAATCGCGAAAATATCCATGTAAACAAAACCAACCAAACAACAACCCTTGTCTATTTTTACACCAACATGAAATAACACATCATTTATGCAAAGGGAAGTTTGTAAACTGTACTTTCTTCCACTTTCCGATTGAAACCTAATGCAATAAAACTACATGAGGGAAGTTTACAATTGACTTCTTCCCCAAATTAGCACCAACTAAATACTTTGAACCACAGTGTTGTTGTGAACAGTTATTTTAAACATTATTTTTAAACGGTAAGAAAGATGTTCTGAAAATCAACTAAGATATATGACATTTAGTTCTTCGTAACAGTAATTTAACAATAATTAAATTACCTTATTTTATTTACTTTTTTCATTATTGGATTAAATCTTTCTGTCTAACTTCAAAGTCTGCTGAATATATAATGACAATGTGTTATCCCTACTATTGGGCATTGTTAAAAAGGCATATTCTGAATGAGGTCCTTAAGCAGGCTCAATCATGCTTTCTGGTCCGATATAAATTTTTGTTTCATGGCTAATTCTCACCATTTCAATAGGATTTTGAACTGATATTTATTAATATTATATAGGGGTATTTCGCAAGGCACACTTTTCACACATACATCTTTTGTTTATTCAGCCAATACTTTTCATGAAATTTTATCTTCCGTGAAATCAGTTAATAAATGTACATTACACGTGGGAATAATAATTAAGCAAAGCTAGCCACTCCATGCATAACTTTTTGGCATTTTATACATTTCGTGAAATGTTTTATATGTAAGAACTAACAGTAAAACTGGACATTGCTTTTATTTGATTAATATATTAAATGCTCAACAAAGCGGATGGTTTACATAATATCGCAGAAGTTCAAAATATGTACAATTTTAATTTAAAGATATCTAAATACAGGGAAAAAATCATTAAATCGTTCATGAAGAATGCACGGTAAAGATATAATAATTACTACTTTATTTGTCTAAGACACATAATAATGGCGTATGAAATCAATGAAAACCAATGTAAACTTTAAATGGCCATGACATAAGTTAGAAATGATCGATTTGGAAAAAGTATTGGACCAAAATGTTATTTATAAAAGTGCCTTTGCTTCTGTTTGTTCTTAAACTCTATACATGTACTCAGATTTTATTTTTTTACATGTTAAGGGTGATAATTATAAAAATTAGTTATATTTGGATGGCATTGGTCACCGATAACTCAAAATTAGAAATATAAAACTTAAGTTTACCCTTTATCCCTTTACAGATTTATTATCGTGGTTTCCAACCGTCTTTACTTATGGAAGATTAGATAAAAAGCTGGAGGTTCTCACTTTAATAATCAAAAACTAGATAATGTAAAGGGTATAAGCTGAAAATTTCAGTCCAATTGCTCCACTTTGAACCGAGATATTTGCGATCGAATTTTAGGCATAGCCTCGATCATCATTACTAAAGTCGGTACAATAAAAAAAAAAGACATAGTCTCGATTATCCAGTTTTGGATTTAATCATCAATGAGCGTTGGGCAGCAGATCGGATTCAAATCTAGTGAAAATCCGACACATAAGATTAAGGTCTTTTCATGTTAATATATCTAATTAATAGTTTATATAACATTTCAGGTCTAAAGAAAAACCTACAATAGGCAGATTTAGCTCTTGCATAATGTATGTTTAAGATATAATATAAATGAAAATCGATGGAGTGTCACGTAGTATAAACTATAATAATATCGACGACTGGTAGTAATTTTTTCGCTAGAATTGGTGAATAACTTAATAAATTTTGTCGACTTTTTCATCAAAACGGTTTAATTTAAATAAAAGAAGTATTTTGTCTGACCACAATGCATTTGGTTGGGACTAAATGCCTGAAAATACAATTATTAATCATTAATGAGCGGACTTCTATGGTCAAACGTCACTTAGTCATGTGTACAACAATATATTTTTGAATTTCCTATTGGCGATTTGGTCAGTGGAACTTTGTTGCGCTTCAAGACAGTTACAACATCCCAAAGAATTAGTGTCAAATGCATTTTGTGCTAGTAATGCTTTCCAAAAGAAATATGTGCAGTTTTCATTTAAATTTAAACGTAATCATGGTTGAGCTCGGTGATTTGATTTATTAATTTCGTACATTTAAAGGTTTAAAATTAGTTATCACTTTAACATTGAAGACCGTTGTAATTCTCGCAAACCACAAATATAACACTCAGGGCCGGATGAAGAAATTTAGATGTCCACACCCATTCAATTGCGGATTAATATGTCTGGAAAAAACTCCTATGGTGTACCTGTCCTTTGATCGACTAAGCACGTACTTATTTTTCTTACTAACACCTTTTTCTCAAATTTTAAAATCACTAATAATCAGTGGATTGCAATGTTGTTTTTTTTAAACGACAAATAGGCAAGCATTTGGAAAAGAGATTTCACAGTCACCAATCCGTAGGCGTTCAGATATCGAATTTCACTTAAGGATGAATAGACATTTTTATTTGCTCTTTTTGGCATTAATACCAGTCACTTGCTTTTTTCCCAGAAATTACACGGTGTCAATGATTGATATTCATGTTCTAATAATTCTGTTATCTGTTTCAATAAATTCATCAATTAATTCAGTGTTATCAGATCGAATAATACAACAATGCCAGTGATTAATAGGGTCATTCAAATTGCATTGGCATATTCATAAACGAGAAAAATATATTCCATATTAATATATTAAAATCTACCCACACTGCATAGACAAAAACAAATCAAGCGCTAGCTAACAATTGTTGAATATTAGAAAATTAATATTTTATGACCGAAACAAAGACAAGTTTTTGGAAACCAATTTATATTCCCTAAATGTGATGTATTTGCTTAGAGGCTCAACTGCAGTATATTCGTTTCTCATTTATATTCCCAATTATTAACAACAAATATCTGAATATCTGTCAAATTATTTTGAATTCCTTTGATCTCAAAAATTGTAATTTGTGTTGCCTTAAATATCTCTTAAAGCCAAAGTAAAATCATATCTTATAAGGAACGGCATAACTTAATCAACTCGAACGACATGACATAATCTATGATTGAACGAATACCAGTTTCGATCATAAGTAGGAGCAAAAACCCGTTTCTAATTTTCGGGGCCTTCTATTTGGGGAAAAACGCCTCTATTTTACCCGTCACATAAATAGTCGAAATATTTAAAAACCTGTATTTACTTGAAAGTAAGAGGGCGGGAGTGGGTGGGGTGAAATGAAGTAATGGGAATAGAGACGCTTTTGTAATTAATCTAAACATATTAATTTGTCCAGGTGGCACATAAAATGCTTTCTGTTAAAGATGTATGTTCCACTGTCATATTTCCATTTAATCATTTTATTCTGTGATAGATTTTGAATAATTAGAAACAAACAAAAATGTATAATCTATCCACTTTTTTAAAAATTCTTATGCTTCTGTTTTAAATTAATATATTATCATAAAACAGCGGTTGTAATATCCAATTAATAAGTTTCATTGATAAATTACAAAGAAATACAAGGAGAAAATTATACGATAAAAAATTGAGAATTACACAAAATACCCAATGCCAATATTTATTAAATAAAGATGCTGATGCCAACTGTGATCAGAACATTTCTATAAAATTTATACTTTATTTCAGTGAAATGCGTTTATAAATTTTTACAAAGAAATTTGCGTATTAAAAGACTTTTAAAAAAGAATGATTTATTTGTTATTACTAGTCACAAATTGACAAAAGTACGGATTGCTCGTTTAAGTCAATTTTCCTCATTTAAGACGCTGTTGGTTGTGACATTGTAAATTTAGTTATGGCATCTAAATTTGATAAGTATTATTTCGGTTTCATTAGCGGATCGTTGGAACGGCATGTTATTTAGAAGAAACATATCCGTTTGAATCCTTTTGAAGTTTTGGGTTAAAACTATAAGGCACTTGAAATATATATAAAATTAAACAACTTCCAGCAACAGAATATAATTATAGTAATTAAAAGTATATTTGTTCTGATAATAAAAATATATCTGCGCCGCTTTATGGAAATTAAATATCTCAGTACTAAATCAGTCGTATCTTCTGCAGGATTCGATTTTTTTTAAAAGGAAGTCGTTCGTTTTGTTTCCATATCGGTATTAAACAGAAGTCCGAATTCATTCAGATGACTGGACGTTCTGACTCCCCAGGAATATTTATCAAATAAATGTCTACGTGAATTGGGATAAATAATACTCAGTTTATAGAATAAATTATTCACACCACTAATAACGTTAAGCTTCTGTAATGCCCGTAAACTTATTAAATCGAGATTTTAATATTATCTAATTTAAATTATTTTGCCAAAAGAAAGAAAAATCCCTCCACAGAACCGCGTTATTCGTTTCAGAACCGTTTCTTTCCGGGGAATCAACGCTTTAGATATATTGTTTCAATATTAAGTGATTTCCATCGCTGGTCAAATGAAAATGTTCATTCAACGAGATGTTGCCAATTTGGAAGAAACCGTTTCTTATGAATAATTAACATATGATCGATAAAATAAAAATCAACAAGAATTTCTTTTGCATCGCGAGCAACTAATTTAATGTTAATAAAATGTAAATTCAATACATTACACCTCTAAAAATACTTGAGTATCTTGTAATTTATTTATAATATTTTAATGATTTTTTTAATATACATTTACAAACGCACGAAATAAAAGCTTGGTTTGTGAGGTATTTTTAAGTTTTTATATTCCATGTCACTACGTGCAACATTTATCTCATTTCATGGAAAGAATGTCATTAAAACGACCTTGTAAGTAAATAAAAAAAAATGAATTATAAACTGAGTAGGCTTTTAAAAAAAATATGTATGCGGCCATATGCAGTGATAAATTTAGGACCGTTATACATGTAACGCCCTCGCTCAGTCTCTGTTTCACACACGACGTTCATAAACCTTATCGACCGCACTGACAATTACTTTAGTCACGTGACCGCCAGCTATACGGTTAGTTTGTGGACTAAACGAGTTGTCAGCAAGCGTAGTTGACAGATATGGACGTGTAACTTGGACTACAGAACGCACAGAGTTACCATACAAATTTGACAGGTAGGTAAACTTATAATCTTTCAATTTATGTTTTCGTTTTATCCTAAAGTTGCTTTTGTGACGAGAAATCGATTTTTTTCCATCCCTTCACTGATGGTATTTGAGGCCCAGGGTCTAACCAAGATGGCGTCTGTCTGCGTGCAAATCGAGGCTCTGCAGAATCTCGACTAGGATTGATCTGCATAGCATTGGGCCCGATCTCGCTTGCATTGCAAATTTTACGTTGCAGACATCACGGCGTTCGAGTTTTGCACACTTTGGGCGGTATGTTTCCGCTGATCCTTTTTTTCTTGAAAGATAGATGCGATCGGATAGAAAATTACCGATCTATATTTGATAATAAATTAATATGAAAGGCATAATGGAAAAAAAATTAATATGTAAATGACTATGCATGTTCTGTAAATTCAACAGGTTTCTAGCATGTTAAGCAGACGACATTCAGCTATCGATGACGTCATAGTGTCAATAGAAATCTTGTAGCAGACGATAAAATATTTAGGTGTTTATTTATCAGGGTCCACGCTTCACTGGCTTATCTAAATTACCCCTTTATTATGGTTAACCCACTCGTATTGCTTGTTCATCATGTGATATGCATCTTCTGAATAACATGGAGACCATGGACGTAGCCTACACAATATAGTTTTCAGCCATGGAGGCCCTACGGTTAAAACCAGTGTTAATGATATAAATATTGGAAATACGATCGAATTATAGTTGGTTTTGTACACATTATTTGTGTATGGATGTGGTTTACCAAAACTATTTAAAAATAGATATTGAATGCATAATTTGTTTCTTCAATCACGTGGTCACTACTATCTACAGATTTAATCAAAATATTCCATGCATTATAATGCACAGCGCTTATTGAATGCCTGGACAGAGATAAAGAAGAAAAAAATAACCGTATAAAAGATTCTCGTTAATTACATAATCTATTCATAGAGTAACCTATTAACCCAATTCGCAGAAGTCTTTCATAAGTTTTGCATTTTTTTCATATTGTTTCCCTTTTTTAATGTCCCATTCTATATTTACTTTAAGATCCCATTCCTTATTGGATGTTTCGTGTCATTTCATAATACATGTATATATGCTGTATTATCCCATTCCTGATTGGATGATTTCTGTCATTCCATATTATGTGTAATAATATCTCATTCTATTGTTAGGTGCTTCTAATCTGTGTTTGTTTATACATGAATATATACCAATACACCCTTTAATATTTATATTTATGTCGGTGTGTGACAACAATACGTGATCAAGCCACTGGCATCAACGCCATCAGATTATAAACGATATGTACACGTATGAATGTTGAGGAAAAACAATTGGTAGTGCAGTTTTGTAGATTGAGAAAGTGGGCATAAGAATATTTGAAATCCGACGATCCGGGAAAACGCCTCATATTACACCATTTTGATTTGACTAGACTTGGCATCGTCAAGAGTGTCCTTCTCGTCTTGGGCCCCATTGATTGCCATATCGAAGGCTAGAGTAAAACATTTTGGACTATATACGTAACCAAACGACATGATTTGCCGTGCTATGTCACGCATATGGCCCACTAAAACATATCAATGAGTGCACTTATTTAATGGATGCATAACTCTGTTGTGTTAACTTTAGTGATAATCGTGAATAATGTCTATTATGTAACGAACAGAATACAAGAAGAAATATTAGCTGTAATAGTTTAAAACTGCTGGTTGAAATAAATCTATTCATATCTGAATTTTGATCAAAGCAGGGGCGGAAGCAGTGGGTGTTATTTGAATAGATTTTCTGATAATACGTGTAGCTTGCGTAATCATTATGAGTGCGTTAGCAATTTTTACATTTTTTAATGGCATGTCAGTAAAATTCCACGCTCAACGTCAACGCACTGAATGTCCGGCTATTAAATGTACTGTCTCACTAGTTTTATATGTACACAGGTTAAGAGGTAGTTTTTATACCGGCAACTAAAGTCCAGTTGTTATGTATATCCATGACAATCTATAATTTTTCTTTTGTGAACATTCAACCATGTTGATAGAATTTGACATATTTTGTTTGAGTTCTGTGTTCAGATTATTCACTTATTCACCAGTTCTATTTTTTTGTGGCGAATGAGTACTTCATTCCGATTTGTGATTTGTTTAGTGGTTATAACCGTTGAAATTGTCTGATATTATAATTAAGATGCAACGGTGGCACAAGATTGTTATCTAATTTTAATTTTATTGGTGTACCTATTGAAATATTCTATTTATTTTGATTTTAAGAAACCGCTTTTCCGCCTTATATACGGTTTCAACACTGCGGTCATCACCGCTGACCAAAGAATCGATTCGTCCCATTAACTATTTAAACACTTTATACTACAAAGAAAAACGGACCAGGAATGCCCTCGAACATGATTAAAAATAAGAATACAAACAAAACATAGTTAATGTTCCGAACATGTCATAAGCCCAGTTACTCACCATTGCTGGAATACCATAAAATATTGGTAGTTATGAAACTTGACGATGTTTGATAACACGCCAATTTAACGTTAATAATGGGTAATTCACATTTATAATTGGATGCACACACGAAACTACATGCCTTGTTCGTTAGAAGTTCATCATCAAATTATGCCGTCAATTTTATGGCATTGCACTGATGTTTTGAGTTAAAGAACAGCTTAGAATGTAGCCTATACCATACCTTGATAAATACTTAAATGAGCTAAATCGCTAATATTTGGACCAAGAAATTGACAAAAATGGGTCGGAACGCATATAATAAATACTGTAATATGAATGTATATAAGCTGATTTACATTCAGTCGTTTCCGTTTTTTACTCTAATTTCAAATCAGTTATGTTATCAGTTATACACCGATAATATTTATTGTGCATGCTCTCCAGATAAGAAAATGGCACCACCGTTTGTTGACATGACTTGTGGAATATATCTAGCCTCATTCTCGAGCCCCTTGTTACAAATCGCACTAAAACGCATTATGGTACACAATTCGTGTACCAGTGGTAAATGTTTACTTTGTCTTAAATATTGGATATTAGAAGCCCATCTTTTCCCGGTAAGATCACAACATCAATGATGATTTAAATGGACAAATAATTCGTGTTTTCAATGTCGGAAGACCTTGGATGATACTGAGTTAGAGACTTAGCTACTTTAAAAGTAATAGATTTTAAAAAGTATTGAACAGTAATCTGTAATGTCTATGGATTTATGAACATCATTCGTTAAATGGTGTTGATATATATATATAAAATAACTATTTTGACGTAATCTCTAAGATAACAATTCAATTCCCCAGAGTATCATAAATCGTCAGCTAAAGATGACCAGGGTATCCTCTCTATGATGTTCATAACCACATCATCTGTCACGGCTGTCAATTAAATGGACAAATTGTTATTAAAGCATGAAGTCCAATTCGTGACACCTTCTTTATAGCGTGTATGTTAATCTTTGTACAGGAAAGAGACATACATGTATTGTAACTATATTAACAATTTAATCTTCATCAATACTTGAATAACTTATTCTTATTAGGAATTGGTGTGTCTCCAAGAGATGATTCAGCTACACGGTAAGAAAACAATACACCGCCAATAGTTTCTAACATTTATTTATGAAAATAGAAAACCGTATCCTATAACCATTCACAATTGCCCTTTCACATGGTTATTTATCTATACGGCGTTGACTGTTAGAATCCGGATCACATTTTCAGTAAGTTTTATAAAGATAACAAGATTATGCCCGGTAATATTAGTTTGCAAAATTGTCAATGATATAAGATTCTTATCTGGACATTTTTCCGGATGCAGGTTGCTTATCGAGTTTCAGTTTAGAAGATTTCGTACCACTTAGATTCATTCTTACACTTGGTATATTTTCCGTTATAAATTGTTTAATGATGACCAATAACGCTGGGTTACCGTCTGATCTTGGATTTGTCACTAGTCCTTTGGCGCATAGAATATTTTTGGCATTTTCTGAAAATGTAGACTTTTAGGATTGAAATACGTGTACGTGTACGAGGAACTCAATCTTTAATTAGTTTTGTACCTGTTTGGGTTTTCGATGTGAAGGTTAACCAAGGGCAGTATAAAGTATTAAATGTACATGTACAATCTCAGATATACATGTACATGTATATTTATTGTCTGCGATATCACTACCGTGGAAGCAGGCGCTAAACATCAACCAGCCAGACATCGATATTTACTGAATAAAACTGGCTTATTCTGGGAGGAAGTCCCGTTGAAACATGTTTCCTCTCTGTGATATTTTAATATTAGTTTGGAGTGATCATCGTGAAATATCTGATGGATCTATTGAAAACAAAAATGTCAAAATCTCATCTGGAATAACACCACTTCCGGAATAGCATTTAATATCTTAGTTACGATAACACATTAATTAATTAGAACACTTCTTGGAATACTGGTCATATTTATTTATACATAAAGTACTGTAATAGTATTGTAATGATTAATCTACATCAACCTAGGTTCGCTCTGGATGAATGCCGGTGTCGGTACCCTGTTTGGTGTGGCCCCTTTTGCTTTGGATACGAGTGAAAAGGCAGTTCCCTCTTTTCACATGGAACCTATTTTATAACAGCTGAGAATTGATTTATCAGGTTCTTTTACTGTTGTTTAATTGTCTTTATGTATGAAACACTCTGCTAGAAACGTTTTTCAACGTCAGAACTATTTGTTATTAGTATAAAAATTTGACTTGGTGTTCTGTTTCTTGTTTAGGATCACAGAGTACTTATTGAATAGTCTGTATGCCTATCATTTTATATGTCTAGATACCAAGCCAAACCGGGGACCGAGTCAAACCGTGACGTCAGTATTGAAATCTAGGTCAAAATTATATAACACTTCGTTTCACTCCCACAATCTCATATTTTACACCAACCAGCAGTAAGAATTATCGATTGACAAGCCAGTAACGAAACATACAATAGGATAACCTTG